TTGACTCTTATATGTCCTTTTTAACGTCGATTTAGATTTTATAAAAATTAAGATTAAAATAGAAAAGAATATAAATATAAATAAAAATTAAAAAGTAAAAACAATTGCATTTTAAAAACAAAGTTTTATTAAGGTCAAAATCAATTCTGTATTGAAATATTTGTATAAAAATATTCATAAATAATAAAAAATATAATTTAGATATGTATATAACTCTGAAATATACAATAATTAAGTACTAAGATCCTCTTTTAACCAAAAATAAATTTATTTTTCTTAATTGTTTTTTCTCGTCGATCTAATAATTATTAGGTAGATATCGGATATCCGGGAAATATCCGGTATTATCCGGCACTTTTTACTCTCTGGCCGAATACTATTAATATCCGGTAATATATATTCGGTTGAAATTTTATATTGATAGTTTGCATTATTAATACAAAATTCTTTTCAGCTAAATTTTTTGTACAGATCATCTCTTTCTTTCTTTTTTCCCTCTTTTTTCTTTTTACGTTTGGGAAGATAAAGAAAATTATTATCGCTATTTTTACCTTTTTTCTTGGAAGCCTTTTTCCAGATATTCGACAGGATACCCGGGGAAATTTCCGGTATCCGATCGGATAATTGCACTACTGGATATCCGACCAGATATCGGATATCCGAAAAGAATTTGACGCTAGATATCCGAGATTCGGTGCATCCCTGATAATTATAATTAAATATAATTTTATTTGTGATTTTAAATATTTAATTGGATATAAAATAAATATAAACAAAAGTTAAATAAGGAGCATACAGCCAATACGCCGGTTATTTGTTGCGATGTAATATATTTAAAATGATCTTTACAAATTTAAATTCATATACGTTTCGGCCGATATTCGGCCTTCCTCAGTATGTTCTAAAATACAATTTTTAAATCGGAAATTAAATAAATTAAAAATTCAATTTAAATATTATAAGAGAATAAATCTCAGTCCATTCTAATGTACGATGGTCATTTAATATAAAAAGTTGAATGTGTAAGAACGTAAAAAGTTCTTGTAAAATAGTTGATATTTGTGTGACTGTTAATGTTGGTCCGTTATCAATTGCAAATTCCCGTGTCGTAAAGAGCTTCCAAATTCTAATAAGAATTTACAATTACATAATTATAGAGATTTTTATACCATGATTACAAATAGTGACAACGATTGCTTAACGTATCTTTACTCGTATGTAATAGGAGTTACAATTATTCACTAAATAGTTTTACA